CTTTGACGGCGAGCGCTACCACATCATCGAGCAGAGCTGGGCGGCCTTCTCGGAGCTCAAGGAAGACCTCTTGACGGCGCTCGACGCTGGTCACGTGTGCAGCGGTGTGTGCCCGTGGCTCTGGGAAGACCTCCACCACAACTTTGACCATCCGACCAAGAAGGTCAACCTCCGCACGTGGCTGCAACTCCGCCTCCGCCGCCGCACCAAAGACACGATTCAAGTGTTCCTCGAGCACTTTCAGGAACTCCTCGACTCGATGCTGACGGTGCTTCGCCAGCGCCACATTCACTGCCGCCAATTCCACGACGTCTGCGCTGTCCTTGCGCGCTTCATTGACGTGCGCCCGCCGACACTCCTTGGGTCGCCACAAGAAGAAGCGGCGAGTCTCACGACCTCGGTCGCGTGCTGCTAGACACCATATTTACCCTATTTATTCGCAATATAGACAACACCACATACTACTCCTCTGGAAAAGGGACTCTCAGAATTACGGTACTAGTGCATTTGTAGCCCCTAAAGGCGCCAAGCATTTGGGTATTCGGGTGCCACGAGTAGGGAGGTAGGACATGACTGATAGGGTGGAGCGCGGCTGCGTTGCGAGAGCGCATGGTCGGACACATCTCGTTGAACGTTATCGATGTCTTGATGACCTCATGCCACCCAAGACACTGCGAACTGACATGTTCCGGTGTCGGTCGAGCGCTGCTTCTGCATCACACTCGCTGCTCTGTCGGCGTACACTCCCAGCGTACACTCGCTACGACTTTGAGCAAAACCAGATCATCGATTCTGTGTGTTCTTGCAGACAGCAGCGATGATAAATAAATCAATTCGGAGTTATCTGCCTCTAAATACTGGCCCGCGTCACGAGGTCGCGCTCGTGGCGACGCGACAACGAAGCGGGTCGTGCTTCGCTCACTGCGTTGGGGTCGACGAGGTGCAGGAAGCGGGCGAGGACGAGGCACAGCGCCGAGAACTTGTCACACTTGGTGCGCTCCTTTCGAAGCAAGTGCAGAAGCGAGTCGAGCAGCTCCTGAAAGTGCTCGAGAAAGATTTGGTTGGTCGCGGCCGTGTGGTGGTGCAGCCGGATCTGCAGCCAGGCGCGGATATTGCCGTGTTTCTTGGGTCGGTCAAAGTTG